GGGACCTGTGTTGTTCAGTTCCTATATGATATGCTGCAATTGGGAAATACCATCAGATTTTTTTTTATCAAATTCCAGAAATATGCAAATGATACACATCTGTACAGCACCTTATGACCAAATTACATCAGCCATATGGATTAACTGGTTCAATTCAACGATCACATCAACCTATGGATGTCACATCTTTTCTTGCAATTGAAAAAAGACAAGACCATGGCTCTAGTTATTGGAGCAAAGGTCCAGAGAGAATTGCTGGGCACTAACATCCAACTGCAAAGCCCCTAGCTAGAAGTCTTGGCATGCCATTAGACCTTTATTAGAATTTGGATCTCACATAGGCTTCTTAGCACATTGTTAAATTGATACAATTGCTAAAGTGCAACTGTTTCTCTCCCAGGCTTGATTACTGCAATTTGCTACTTTCTGGTCTTCCTAATTTTTTTTTAAGAATATTTAGAGGCTGAAGCTGTTGCCAGATTCAGCAGCATCTGTAGTTACCAATACCTGCCATATGTGTCTTTATTGGTTGTCTGTCAATTTATTAATACCTTATTTAGATATAAACTGTTTTTTAGTGTTTCAATGAATCCATGGACTAGCATCTGAATACATGCTCTCCATGTACACTCCCTTTAGATCAGGGGTGTCGAACTCAATTTCATCTCGGGCCACATTAGCATCATGGTTGCACTCAAAGGGCCGGTTTTATATATAAGACTATATAAACATACATATATAAATATTTAATATATATAAAATAATGTATTATATTATATTGCATTGGATTATTATCGGATAGGGTAATAACTTCATAATTAACTACGTCTGAAAGCAGAAGTCTAGGGCAAATAATTGCAAGTCTCTTCAGTGAGCATGTCACAAAATGATTTAAAAAGAAAAAGAAAATTCTGGAAAAAAAATCAAAATCAAAAATAAATAAATGACATTTTGAAATGAAAACGTCAAATTCTAAGACAAAATTAATATTTTGAAGAAAAATAGTAAAATTCGGAGAAAAAGGGCAAATTTGAGATGCATTGTGGGACATGTAGTTTATGGGTAACGTGCTTCTGTAAATCGGCATGTAACCGTATAATATACATATTATATTCTTTGCAAGCTCTTATGGGGCCACAGAAAATGAAGTCACGGGCTGGATTTGGCCCCCGGGCCTTGAGTTTGACACCCCTGCTTTAGATCCATCACATTCTCTGACACTGCCCTTTCAATTATTCCCAGGATGAGGATAAAGACTGAAACCTCCACACACTTGGGTCCTAAGTAATGATTGAGAGGAATTATTTTTGTATGAGACTGTATATTATTTCTTATAGGGAAAAGGTTGCATTGTATACCTTTAAATTAATGTATTTATAAACAGGTATTTTTCCTGACCCTGCCAACCGCCCAGCCCTAATGCTGTAAAGTAGTGTGATCTGAGAGGAATTTAGCGGCAGGGGGATGGCAGTTCCATCTGTGGAGTCAGAGGGGGGTCTCTAATCTCTGTCGCTGAACCCCCACGCCACAGAGTAAGATAGGAAGAAGAGAGCGGGCTATTATGTTGTAGCACAGAGCATGTTTTTATGGTTTTTACGAGGGCTTAAGGATAAGGGAGGTTGTGTTTCTGTGACAAAATGGTGTAGCCTTGACTGTTTCCTATTGACTGTATATGGAGTTCGCCTATATTGTGCTCAAGATCTACCTTTGGACTACAGAGCATGTGATGTTATAAGACTGTATAAAATATGGACATGGCCTCTATGTATGAAGGTAGATATGGTGCAAAATGCGAGAGCGTGTAAAACCTGATGTGAGCACTTGCAGAAAAGAAATCTGAGCTTGTGTGCATACATTTACACTTGTATAAAAATATCCACGTATCTGTGAAACACATTTGAAGTCACAGAAGAAAAAAAAAAGTTTTGTAGCTTGTCAAAAAAAAAGAACTTTGTGATGAAATGCTCACTTGCAGAAAAATATATATTTTTTAAATATATTTTCCATTACAACTGCAACTTGGTTATTATAACCTCTCAAATCAGTCATTACAACTTCACGAATCTGCTCTATGGCAGTATAAATCGACGAATCTGCGGCCTTGACTTTGCTACACTTCTTGCGATGAATGTGTCTCAAAAGTAATTTTCACCTGTAGATGTGGGGGGAGGGAGGGGCGGAGCTATCACAACGACGAGGCTCGGGTCAGTCACAGCCATAGTCAGGTCGAACCAGATGACTGCGGGGCTAACGGTCCGTGTCGCTACCAGTCCGCTGACATGGCGCGTCAAACGGTAAGTTTTGCCCATTACTTCCCCAGTATTACTTATACTACTATATTATTATTGTGATTGAGGATTAAATCCGCTATGAAGACACCGTTTTATATCGTGCAGTTTAGCGGCAAAATAACGTCAGTTAGCCAGCTAACGCTAGCTTTGTTGAATTTATGCTAGCTAAACAAGTAGTGATTGTAGTCTATACAGCAGTAATTAATATATTATAGCCTACTGCTTTGGCACTAACGGTTGATAACCGTTCATGAAAATAAAACCAATTGAACTGTACTGAAATAATGACAAGTTTTATAATTGTCTTGGGCTCCTGCTGTTTTTAAAGCCTTTGTAAATTATCCATGCTATTTTCTATTTAGAACTAAGACTTCAGAATCTTAAAATCCCTTGACGTTTGTATGGAATTGTGCTAAATTCAACACTGGAATCAAGCAAATATGAATATGTTTGCATGACATTAGTTATTAATATTTTGCCATCACTTAATTATATGTTTAATACATTTAAGTCAAGCTAAGGTACATGTGATGGTAGCTAGTTAGTACTCTTACCTGTGATGCCTCCTCCAAACAGCATAATAACCAGACTGTACCATTAAAACTACAAGTATCAGTTCTAGATCCTTGACTTTAGATAAACAATTCAAAAGACAAAATGTATTTAAAGACCAATCTTTATTTGAAGGTGCCTCTTAACCTGGGATATTAGTTATACAGTAATATTATTGACAATCTAAAAAAACTGAGCAACTCAACAGTTCACTTTTATATTTCTTATTGTCTAAAGCATTTATTATTTTCATTTTTCCCCTCTCATATTCAGTGTGGACGGATTGAGACAGCGTGGTGTCCAGAGAGCTGCAGAGACTTCAGGGAGAAACCTCCGTGTGATGGACGTCCTGTCTGTTGGTTTGGCCGGAGAGGACTGAGGGTCTTTCCTCAGCGAGGAGGACCAGGCCTGATGGATGCTGGGCATAGCTGATACCACCTGATCAGGCCTAGTCTGTCACTTTATTTGACTAAATGTGTTTACTTATACATTTAATAGGTTTACACCTTCTGTCCATATGTGCTTTTTATTTAAAACATTTTTGATTAACTTTTGGTTCACATTTCAATAAATTGTATTTGTATTTGCACTCCTTTTGTCCATTATTCTTTACATATTACACATTCACATCTGACTGAAGATTGGCCCCATTTATTTGTGACGTTGCAAACTCTGCGGTACAAGGTACAGGTGTTGTGAAGCTCATAAAGTGAGGCAAATAGAAATAATCAGCTGATGGAGTGTAGATGTGGAAATAGGTGCATCCGATCAGCTGACTGTCTTTTCACAATAAAAGTAGTTTCTTAGTGAATGTCCTGTACTGGTCTTAAAATCTCATAACATCAGCTTTTCATTTTCCTCTTGGATGTTCTTCTTGACCCTCAGAGAAGGAGAAAATGTTGAATCGTGTCTTTCAGGCATGTCCTTTCCTAACAAAAATTACAGGAAACATAAAACATATTATTGCAGAACAAGTGTGTTATTTATGAAAGAGGTGTGTTTGTGTTTAGGGGCTGTAGATATAATTATTTTGTAATTGTAATGTATTTTTCTTTTTTTCAACAGTGAGCTACAAAGACAATCAGATTATGAATGAACAGTATGAAATTCATCAACATTGAAATATATTTTATTATCAAAATAATATTTAACTGTTATCAAAACTTAGTGCAACTGTAGAAGCTTGCTCTGTTGTCTCACTGAAATAATAACTTTCACCACGTTTTTTACAGACAATATTGAGAGATAAATAGTAGCAGTTCTCACTATGTGTTAAATAGCTTTGCCTTCAATACATTAAATTAGAAAGCTGACAAAGTAATATTGCTTGTTAACATCTAAATGTAACCCTTTGCATGGAAAAAACCCTCAACTTCACTGATGTGTAGGTGATCTAGTATTTAGTATTGTTTAATGGAATATATATCAGTGTATTAAAGTCAATACTTCATTTATTTAAACCAATATCTTTCTTGATTCTTTGTACAGTATGAAAAAAGAGTATTTGTACCTGTGCTGAAGTTCACTGCTGTGAGGAGTCCAGTTCTGTCTCTCACTCTCTGGTCCAGCCTGTCTGCATCACCTGGAAACTTTAAACAAACAGATATATATGTAAAGTACCATGTGTACAAACAATATAACTTATTCTCTTCTGTTGAACATGTTGGATTGTGTATTGGCCGAGTCAGGGTCCTTTTTATTTTACTGTAACTTTGGAAGTTGTGTTACCAATGCTTACTGTTTATTTGATACCAATTTGGTAATACAATTAATAAAAACAACAAGATTTGGGTTCGTTCTTCAGATATGACTGACGTTAACGTGTAAGCTCAATAATGAACTCCAGCTCAACCAACCACATTGTAATATCCAAGTAATCATCTTGAAATATGACATTAATAATTGTAATATACACACATCTTATTGTGAGGTTGATTTCACATAAGGCAAGGCAAGGCAAGGCAAGGCAAGGCAAGTTTATTTATATAGCACCTTTCAACACAAGGTAATTCAAAGTGCTTTACAAAAATGGAAGACATTTTAAAAATGGCATTTAAAATCAGTCATTAAAAAGGAAAGATAATAAAATAAACATTAAAAGAAAAAAAAACATGGATAAAAGTTAAAAGTTACAGTGCAGTTTAAGATGTGAATAGTTCAATTAAAAGCAGCGGCAAAAAGAAAAGTCTTCAGCCTGGATTTAAAAGTAGTAAGAGTTGCAGCGGACCTGCAGGTTTCTGGGAGTTTGTTCCAGATATTCGGAGCATAATAACTGAATGCTGCTTTACCATGTTTAGTTCTGACTCTGGGGACAGAAAGCTGACCAGTCCCTGAAGACCTGAGGGTTCTGGATGGTTCATAATTTAGCAGTAGGTCAGACATGTATTTTGGGCCTAAACCATTCAAAGCTTTATAAACCAGCAACAATATTTTGAAATCTATTCTTTGACACACAGGAAGCCAGTGTAAAGACTTCAGAACAGGAGTGATGTGATCCACTTTCTTAGTGTTAGTGAGGACTCGAGCAGCGGCGTTCTGAATTAGCTGCAGCTTTCTAATAGATTTTTTAGTGAGGCCTGTAAAGACACCATTGCAGTAGTCGAGTCTACTGAAGATAAAAGCATGGACAAGTTTTTCCAAATCCTGCTGTGACATTAGTCTTTTAATCCTAGATATGTTCTTTAGGTGATAGTAGGCTGATTTAGTAACTGTTTTAATGTGACTGTTGAAACTCAGGTCAGAGTCCATGACTACACCTAGATTTCTGGCTTTATCTGTTGTTTTGAACATTGCAGACTGAAGCTCAGCGCTAACTTTTATACGTTCTGCCTTGGCTCCAAAAACCATTACCTCAGTTTTATCTTTGTTTAATTGGAGAAAGTTCTGACACATCCAGTCATTGATTTGTTCAATGCACTTACTCAGTGTTTGAATTGGAGCATAATCTCCTGGTGAAATTGTTACGTAAATTTGTGTGTCATCCGCATAGCTATGGTAACTTATTTTGTTGTTTTTCATTATCTGAGTCAGTGGTAGCATGTAGATGTTAAAGAGAAGAGGCCCCAAGATGGAGCCTTGAGGTACCCCACATGTCATATTTGTCAACTCAGATGTGTACATACACTACTTCGACGTTAGCTTGTCTACATACTTGAGCATAGCGGATTTAAATTAACCTTAGCGATGCATACAGTTCCTACCTACATAATAAAATATCTCTCGAAGTTACAAGGATGACCTTATTTTATCAACCTCAAACAGAAGCCGTTTGTTCTACAGTATTATCCCACTTAACGCTTAACACTTGTCTATGGTTTTAACTTGCAGGCTACGATTAGCATCGTTAGCACAGATGTAGCTACCACTCGCTTACACGCTAATCCAAGCCTTAACATTCTTACGTAGCTGATTAAAATCATAAACACATAAATAAGTACTCGAATTTCACTTACCGCAAAACAGCATTCATGCACCGTCTGTTTTAACCGCAGAGCGAGTCACAATAGTCCGATATAAGCATGAAGACACGGACCGTTAGCCCCGCAGTCATCCGGTTCGACCTGACTATGGCTGTGACTGTGTGACTGACCCGAGCCTCGTCGTTCTGATAGCCCCGCCCCTTCGCCCCAACCCCCCTCCCTCCCCCCACATCTACAGGTGAAAATGACTTTTGCGACACATTCATCGCAAGAAGTGTAGCAAAAGTCAAGGCCGCAGATTCGTCGATTTATACTGCCACAGAGCAGATTCGTGAAGTTGTAATGACTGATTTGAGAGGTTGTAATAACCAAGTTGCAGTTGTAATGGAAAATATATTTAAAAAATAAATATTTTTCTGCAAGTGAACATTTCATCACTAAGTTCGTTTTTTTTCTACAAGCTACAAAACTTTTTTTTCTCTTCTGTGACTTCAAATTTGGTTCACAGATACGTGGATATTTTATACAAGTGTAAATGTATGCACACAAGCTCAGATTTTTTTTCTGCAAGTGCTCACATCAGGTTTTACACGCTCTCGCATTTTGCACCATATCTACCTTCATACTATGACTCCAACCAGAGGTTTCTAAAGAGCAAGTGTGAAGGTCATAGTTACCAGTTCACGGTGTCTTCATTTTGGCCTTGACGCCAACCTGAATAATCTAAAAATTATTTGAGGCTAAAATCTTGGGATGGAACCCATTTGTCATTCAAAACAGGCCATAAAGCATAACTTTAAGCCTTAATAAAATAAGAAGGTTGAGTTATGCAAAAAATGTACACTAGTGACTCTATGTAAGCCATCATGAACAATATCAGGACCCTGAATCTGAAGCAGCTTAATAGCAACTGTTATTCAGTTTCATTCTAAAATAACTCTTATGAAAAAGGCCTAGGAGACCTGACTGAAGGCAGCTGGAATGGGACTGTAAGCAGGAAACAAAAAGCAGGTGCGCAGTGTTACTTCCTGTTTTTACTTTTGTGATATGACGGTTGACATTGTTTTTTTTTTACAACTGGATAATAGTGTAAAGGGGCCATATTGAGATGCTATTTTTAAAATTGTAACCACTGAAGTGCTCTTTCAGTCTGTCCTAGGAGAAAAATACAAAGCCTATACAGCCTATACCCACTGGCTTTGTGAATTAAGAGTGTAATGTTCACACTAACAAACGCACAGACTTTAATGCATGTACCTGTAAAGTATGTGAGGTTTAAGGGCTATCCAACTGTCAAATCATCAAGTGCAGACATTTGGAAATTAAGGTTTTAGATGGAAGGTCAAATGAAATAAATCTGAGGAATGCAATATATATTAAGATAAGATAAGATGGACCTTTATTAATCCCCGTGGGGAAATTCAGTAGTTTAACAGCAACAGGGTAAGATTGAAAAACAGGACAGCACATATTCACACAGATTAATACAATTAAGGATAAAATAAAAGATACAAATAAAAAATGGTAAATAACTATAAAATAAGAAAGGAATTAAAATTAACATATATACATATTTAGTCATGTGTACATATTATTTACATGTGTGTGTGAAAACAATGTGTATTATTTTATGTCCAGTTTGTGTCACATTGTTGACCCCTTGTTGTGCAGCGTGATGGCTACAGGCACAAAGGACTGTCCCAGGCGCTTGGTGCTGTGCCGAGGAGGGATGAGTCTGTGGCTGAACGTGCTCCTCATCTTCACTAGCTCACATTCTGCAAATGTTCAGGTTCATATGTGTATTAAGTGTCTTCATTGTGACATGTCTCCATGCTTTAATGTTCAAAAAGTGCTTTATTTTTCTCATACTGCCTGTGCTGGTCTCCTTAGTGTTTGCTTTCTTCGTTTTCAGCACACAACATTATTATTTTATCCACCTACTTCCTGATTTTACAGGGCTTTCTCATATAGCCTTGATTGAATTATGTAAACTTTAATGAGTAATTTGCACTTTTCTTTCAGATCAAATCAGTTCTCCCTCCCTTTTGTCCTTCTCAATATTTGAATGCTGATGAGTTCACCAGCATTTCAATTTACATAAAAGGGTTCATGTAATTCCATCGTTCAATGTAAAACAGTATTGCTTTGACTCAAGGGGAATTTATGTTTGAGAACTACAAGTCAAGATGAATATCTTATGTGATTTTTTCAGTAATTCTACAACCCTTTGATGAACTTATAGTCATTACAGAAGCATGTGTTCGCCCTTTGGTATGGCAGTGGTGTCAGAGCCGTGTTAAATCCTGGTCAGGTGAGGAGTGACAGGCCAACAGCAAACATGGCGTTATCCCGGTTCACTGCAGGCTGAGGGAGTGAACCAACCGGTGGTGTTTACCTCCCTGAAAGAAGAAGCTTTCTAATGGGTAAACTTAATTTTGAGAGTACAAAGGGAGAAAAATATCAGTTTTAATAATTGAACGTTGGGAAAAGTGGCAATGTCATTTTTAGTGTAGTGTGTTATAGGTTTTTTTTGCATGTATATGGTCTGCAACGGCTTATATCCCTCTGTTCCCTCCAGAGGGAGTTTATATCCCACACACTTCCCTCCATCTAAAACGCCTCCATTGGACTCCTTTGTTTACTTCTGTAACATAGTGACATCACTATGTAGTAGGGGTGTAACGGTATCCGTATTCGTCCCGAACCGTCACGGTTCGGCACATGCAGTCACACAACGAATACGCCTTTTTTTACGAGTGGGAAAAAAGTCTGTCACTGTAGTACTAGTATCCATTACACTATATATAATCCACGGGGTGGTATTGCGCCTAAAAGCTGTTTGCCAGCCGCCCTTAAACAACAAATGAAGAACAAGAAGAAAACACAACAAAACTAACAAAATACGAGAAGAAAAGAAGTTAGTATGGCGATTTCGGTACCACTTTACAATAAAACTACCCTTATAAAGGGTTTACGAATAGTTTGCAATTCATTTATTAATTAGGTTGTGAACACTTTATAAATCATTAATAAGCTTTTATAAGACATGAGATAAACAGGGCAACTGTGACCGGTTGCTTGCCAAATAGTGAGCCCACATGTATCTACTGCTAAGCCTTATATTGGCTACTTAGCTTACTTCATCTTCTTCATCAGCCAGCATCCTTGGTATCTGTTGTTCACTGAGTTAATTCCCCCCCTTCCATCTTGATGTTTCTTGGCATCTCTTATGACCATTTATGAATGAGTTACTAACATTTATAACTGCCAAAAGGGAGCCTTATTGTAAAGTGTGACACATATCACCATTTATTAATGAGTTACTAACATTTATAATTGGTAAAAGGGAGCCTTATTGTAAAGTGTGAAACACATCACCATCTATTGATGAGTCACTAACATTTATAACTACTGAAAGGGTGCGTTGTTTTTAAGTTTAATGCACATAATAATAATAGCTTGGATTTATATAGCGCCTTTCATTCAATGTAGCAACTAGCATCACAAACGCCGACCAGCAAGGGAAGCGGAAGTGACTTGGCTGCTATTTATACATTTACGCAGTTTGTTTTTAACCTGGGTTACACTTTCCCCCCCTGATCTCATGTACGTCTCAGACATGGAACTGGTTGTGTGCTAATTGTTTGCTGCGATGTGTGCAAGGGAAGCTCAGTGTCTGTTAAAGCGTATGTGAAGGCAGTAGCCAACCCATGAAACAGTGTATGTAAGGTGTCTAATACTGGTTGTCCAAGTTTTGCGTAGCGAAGTCGTTCTGGTGGTTTCCTGTTCCTAGTTGAACGTCTTGGAAGTTCATCCACATCCACATTGTCTGAAGTGGAGATTGGCAAGTTATCATCTTCAGAGGAACGGGCCCTTTCCTCTTCAGCAATGTCCGCTTTTTCCTCTTCAGTTTTTTCCAGTTCAGAGAGGTTCTGAGCAGCATCCTCTGCTGCTGCACCACCAGAGGCTGTGCTATTGGTCATTGGCAGTAATGTACTGGAAGGAGAACTAATGGGATCTGCTGGTATGTCAAGTATGGTGGTGAATCTTGAAAGCTCAGAGATGGGCAATTCACTGTATCAGTATATTGGGTTTTCATCTTCATCAGTGTCGATGTGATTTTTTAGATGTTCTGTGTTGGAACGAGTTATGGGCTTGCGGATTTGTGTCGGAATTGGGATTTCTGGGGCAGATAGGTACCCAGAAGGAAGAAGAAGATCTCTATGTAATGTACGTTGCGGACTATCTTTTTTCTCTGGCCTGACTGTGTAGACAGGCAATGTTCCAGCTCTTTTGGTAACAACATACACTTCAGATTCCCATTTGTCTTATAGCTTATGTTTTCCTCTCAGACGTACATTTCTGATGAGGACAGGGTCTCCAACGGAAAGATCAGCAGCAATGACATGTTTGTTAAATCTCATTTTGTTCTTTGCATGATCTTTTCTGCGTTTCCAGTTGCTATCTTGTAGCTCTCCTCCAAATGAGACTTTAGATCTTGGACATATTGAGAGTGAGATGTATGCTGTTTGTTTGTAATAGGTAGTCCAAAGGCTAAGTCAATTGGTAGGATGAATACTCAAGAGTGTGCGATTGAAACGATCAACCGGATTTCATCTT